TTTGATAAAAGGAGGCCTTGGGTGCTTCAAGGCCAGTCATATTCCATAAGTGGAATATGACTGGCCCTTCTTCGTTTTGTCCATGCTCTCTCTCTCTCTCTCTCTCTCTCTCTCTCTCTCTCTCTCTCTCTCTCTCTCTCTCTCTGTCGCAAGATTGCTCTCTCAACACTACACTCTCTCTCTCTCTCTCTCTCTCTCTCTCTCTCTCTCTCTCTCTCTCTCTCTCTCTCTCTCTCTCTCTCTCTCTCTCTCTCTCTCTCTCTGTCGCAACTTTCCTCTCTCTCTCCAGCCTTTCCCCGGGTTAGATTGCCAGGCCTCAGAGTTGATTACACAGCCTCGGAGAGACACGGGGATTGAACTATCAACTCCTGACATTCTGCACACTCCCTCACAAAGGCACTAAACTAGGCCCCCCCTCACTCTCTCTCATAATATAATTTTTTATTATATTTTATATATTTATATGTATATATTATATACATATTATATATAATTTTTTTAATATATAGGGGGTACCACCTCTGGTTGCGTTTGTAGGGACCCTTGACCTCGAAGACGATGATATGCAGCATCCAGGGGAGCCTTGTGGGGCAGCCGCGTACACTCACATATTGTCGTCGCCTACCACCCCCTATATTTTTTGTATTTTGTAATATAAATTTATATATATATCATTAATATTATGTGTACTGTATGTATAATGTATGTAACAGTTAAACATGGGGTGTTGTGCCCGTAGACTTTGACACAATACAGGTAGAGAGTAAGACTTCATTTGTTTCCTTCATGAAGTATATTGATGGCATATTTGTGTGTTGTTTATGTCTTCGTCAAGCATCCCGTCACGTCATTAATTTTTTTTTTTTTTTTTTGAGATATATACAAGAGTTGTTACATTCTTGTACAGCCACTAGTACGCGTAGCGTTTCGGGCAGGTCCCTGGAATACGATCCCCGCCGCGAAGAATCGTTTTTTCATCCAAGTACACATTTTACTGTTGCGTTAAACAGAGGCTACAGTTAAGGAATTGTGCCCAGTAAATCCTCCCCGGCCAGGATACGAACCCATGACATAGCGCTCGCGGAACGCCAGGCGAGTGTCTTACCACTACACCACGGAGACTGCCTAGAGTGTCTTACCACTACACCACGGAGACTGCAAATGTTAGAAATATTTACCTAGGTCACTGTCACGACCCTTGAGACTAAATAATGTTCTTCTCCCCACAGTGTAAAGAACAAATAACAATCTGCCATGCCAATAGGTGTCTAGGGGTATAATTCATCACTGTATAAAAGCGGGAGAACAATATATTTTGCTAAGGGTGACAACTTAACAACCATTAAATATATAGTAGCCAGAAATATTTATCAGCATGTAATACTATAGAATGCAAGTAATTATTTGAGACCTGAGCACTATCACCAGAATATGGAGTAAGCCATAAATACACTAAAATCGTCTATCCAGATAAATTAATATTTATATGGGCTTAAAATAACAAAAACCAAGAACTTAGCTTAAACACAACTGCACTCGACCGCAGCCGCCACTCTACTGCCCTGGACGTGGTCCGCAGCCCCAACGTCGACTAACCGTCTACCCAAACACCAATTAACGTTCGCATGAACATTGTGAACATTCTATTTACAAAGGTCAGCCCTAAACTCCAACATTATTAATTAAGAGTTGTAATTACCGGTCTCACATTCCTTGAAATATTACGGCTACCACATATGGGAATAAATAAATATAAAACTATAGGCAATTGATTTGCCAACAATCGCCCTGGCCTTTCCCAATTATCGTCAACCGCCCACACGGCTAATTTCACGTGACATCCACCACCAAAACAAACCTTACACACACTACCCAGCTATCTATGTTATATATATATAATGTATATATATCTATATACACAATTCTTATACAACTGACAGCAATATTTACGTAGAGAAAACAATAACATAATACGAGGTTCGGGAGAATTGGCAGAATCGTAATAAGATTCGTGACAGTCACCCCTGCCTGAAACCGCGACCATTTTCTCTCACCTTTCGTTTTCTTTTGTTACGATTCATTTAAAATTTCATTTTCATTCGTGTCTCATCGGAATTAATCACTAATTTAACGATCCTGTATTTTTGTGGATGTATGAGTAGTTGTAGTTAATGTTCTACATGTCGTATAAAACAAATTTAGTCGACAAATTCGCCGTTGTCAAGCAATACTGAACGTGATCTGTGAGCTCCATTTAGCATCATGCAGAATTTACCATAGTTCCCGCTGCGGATGGTTCTTGCCATTCAATTTCCGTTGCACGTCTGTTCTGGCCGACTTTTGGTCCGCCTTGCGTTGCCGCTCGTCAACTTTCCGGTCAAAGGCGAGGACCTCAATTTCCACTCCATCCATGACTGTCTCTCCTCATGTCCCGCCTTCCTTGCACTTTCCCTGTCGATCATTCTCTTTCTGTCTCTCTGTCTCTCTCTCTCTTTCGCTAATCATATTAAACGTTGTGTAACATGTTAGCATTGCTAATAATCTGTCAAAATTATCCTTACCAGACTGACATTTTTCCCAATAAGATTACCAGTCTAATAGGTTAGCAGTTTGAGTTTATAATCTTTACGTTATTGACTTTATCAAGCAGTAACTATTCTACTGGGGTTTCCGCTGCTAGTTCCTTTACAGAGAACGGGTTATAATGAGTCCTTCTTAAAAGAAAACGGCTCCTAGATTGTGTTTAGTGGCTGACTGTAATTTTTATATAATTTGTTTCTCGTTCACCGATGTGTAGTTAGCCATACTTTGATATCTTGTAGAATATTGGATTTTTATTTGATATCGTCGTTTGATACATGAACTGGGTATTTAAAAGGGGTATTTAAAAGATTTATTAAATCTTCATAAATTCCTGTAGAAAAATAGTAACATTTTCTTCGTTCTATAATCATAATAATTATATAATAATAATAATATTAGTTATATAACAATAATTATTATCTTTTCTGTGTGTATTACCCCCTTTATTAATTATATTTCCTGTAATTGTTATATCTCTGTCTCCTTCATCTTCTCCCTCTCTCTCTCCTTCATCTTCTCCCTCTCTGTCTCCTTCATCTTCTCCCTCTCTCTCTCCTTCATCTTCTCCCTCTCTGTCTTCTTCATCTTCTCCCTCTCTCTCTCCTTCATCTTCTCCCTCTCTGTCTCCTTCATCTTCTCCCTCTCTGTCTCCTTCACCTTCTCCCTCTCTGTCTCCTTCACCTTCTCCCTCTCTGTCTCCTTCATCTTCTCCCTCTCTGTCTCCTTCATCTTCTCCCTCTCTGTCTCCTTCATCTTCTCCCTCTCTCTCTCCTTCATCTTCTCCCTCTCTCTCTCCTTCACCTTCTCCCTCTCTCTCTCCTTCATCTTCTCCCTCTCTCTCTCCTTCATCTTCTCCCTCTCTCTCTCCTTCATCTTCTCCCTCTCTGTCTCCTTCATCTTCTCCCTCTCTGTCTCCTTCACCTTCTCCCTCTCTGTCTCCTTCATCTTCTCCCTCTCTGTCTCCTTCACCTTCTCCCTCTCTGTCTCCTTCATCTTCTCCCTCTCTGTCTCCTTCACCTTCTCCCTCTCTCTCTCCTTCATCTTCTCCCTCTCTGTCTCCTTCATCTTCTCCCTCTCTCTCTCCTTCATCTTCTCCCTCTCTGTCTCCTTCATCTTCTCCCTCTCTGTCTCCTTCACCTTCTCCCTCTCTGTCTCCTTCATCTTCTCCCTCTCTGTCTCCTTCATCTTCTCCCTCTCTGTCTCCTTCACCTTCTCCCTCTCTGTCTCCTTCATCTTCTCCCTCTCTGTCTCCTTCACCTTCTCCCTCTCTGTCTCCTTCATCTTCTCCCTCTCTGTCTCCTTCACCTTCTCCCTCTCTCTCTCCTTCATCTTCTCCCTCTCTGTCTCCTTCATCTTCTCCCTCTCTCTCTCCTTCATCTTCTCCCTCTCTGTCTCCTTCATCTTCTCCCTCTCTGTCTCCTTCACCTTCTCCCTCTCTGTCTCCTTCATCTTCTCCCTCTCTGTCTCCTTCATCTTCTCCCTCTCTGTCTCCTTCACCTTCGCCACCATCACATGAACTGTTTTATAAATTAATTTGTCAAATATTCAGTATGAAAATCTAGGATAAAACTACGAACTACAATAGGCTAATATCATACATCATACGGGAGGGACTCGGGCTGTGTTGCGTGTTGTGTTGTGTTGTGAGACAACTTATCCTCTTTGTATTGGGCACCATTCCTTTCCCCTCGTCCCATCCCAAATCCTTATCCTGATCCCTTCCAAGGGCGATATATAGGCGTAATGGCTTGGCGCTTTCCCCTCCCCTGATAATTCCCTCCCTCCAGTTTTGGTAGTACTTATACTAACTATGAGGATTATAGTGTGTGTGTATATATATATATATATATATATATATATATATATATATATATATATATATATATAAATATATATATATATATATATATATATATATATATATATATATATATATATATATATATATATATATATATATACATACATACATACAGACTTACAACGAAATTAGAATGTGGAAATTTGAATTATTGAGTTGGGCAAACCGGAAAACTGTTTATTACTTTTTTGAGTCCAGGATTGCGGGGTTCGAAACCCTTGTACAGCCGGAATATTTGATCGTATGGTGTGACTTGTATCCCTCGATAGTAGCTCTATTATGACATAATTTAGTGAATACGTATATATATATATTTTTAAACCTAAAAGAGGTACCACCTCTGGTGCAAGTGTAGGGACCCATAGCCTCGGAGAAGAAAATAATGAGTACTCGGAGAAGACCTTGTGGATCCTCACTGAACACTTTGATATTTTCTTTTATATTTTCTTTTTATATTTATTTTTTTTATATTTTTTATATCTTTTTATATTTTCTTTTAAATTTTCTATAAATTTATATTCTCTTCTTTATATATATATTTGTATATATTTTTCAGCCTGAGGCTCTATGTGAGATCGAGCAGGCGACGGGGGTGAGGGTGAGCAGGGAGGACGAGCTATCATACTGTGTGGAGATCTCTCTCAAGGACCCCGACAAGGAGGTGAGTACCGCCCTAAGTCTTACAAGGAGCCGCCCTCAGCCAGCCCCCATCTTGTCTTATATCCCACAGACATCTCTTGTCCTCCGGAGGCAAATACAACCCCCCAATGTTATCCTCTGTAGCCTTCAAGGATGAGAGTATATTCCTCGCATCTTGTCGTGTCTTCATATAGGACGCCGACCACCAGGTGGGGCTTCACATTCCCTGGCCCCGTGGGTTTCTTATGGCTATAAGGTGGAAAGCACCAGTGTCGCAGGGTGTAAGGGTCGTCCCTCGCTACACCGTACAGCGATAGCCTCCGGAGGGACAGGTAATGTGGCAGATTGGTAAAAGCCATTCTGGACCGGATTAGGTCGTGAGGGGCAGTTGTGGGGGGAAGGGGCGGCTGGGATGCAGGGGATTGTGTGTCTCAGCTTTGAGGGGTGTCCTCCCCCTCCCTCCCCCTTTTCTGGGGGACAGCAAGGAGGGGTGGTGGGGAGGACGAACACACCCGAGCAGGTCTTCATGAGGCCAGTTTTACCATGTTTTATCTTCAAATATCTACGCAGATGTTTTAATTCAGACCATTATCTTAATTACCTTGGAATGTGAGGTAATTGGACATGTCGCCTTTTCTCGCGTGTGGAAGCAGATAAGAGGTAATGTTTATGTATAATATAAAATTTAAATATAATTTATATATAATTTATATATAATAATATTTGTTTGTAATAATCTGCTTTTATAATATTTGTTCTGGGTTGCCATCGTGAAATATCTCGCCATGGAATGACTTTTGTGAATGAAAAGTGTCAGAAAAATAATAGAATTATGATACGGTAATATTTTCAGACGTTGTGTACAGTTGCTTAGAGACGTCTCATGGCAACCGTACCCGAGACAGACAGACAGACAGACAGACAGACAGACAGACAGACAGACAGACAGACAGACAGACAGACAGACAGACAGACAGACAGACACAGACAGACAGACAGACAGAGAGCTTGCCTGTACGCGTGCTGAGAATATGTTTCTTCATTCAGCTATCTGGCATTATTTCTCTGGTGAAACAAAAGCCTTAAGCGGGATGAATGGCTAATCCTTCCCGGGGCCCCTCACCATGTCCCCTCTATCCTCTCCCCTCACTCTTCTCTCACCACACCTCTCACTCTTCTTCTCTCACCTCTCCCTTTCTAACATCCTCCGCCCGCCTCGTCGAGGCGGGCGGAGGATGTTCATCGGAGGATGACCATTGTTCCAATCTTGCATGACGGAATGACGTATTTAACACGTTGCAATGCCGTCAGTGTGCAACAGCGGTGATGTGTGTGTGTCACGGGGTGACAGCTGTCATTTCAGAGTGCCACGGGGGTGATGTCTCTCTCACGGCGTGACAGGGGGAGGGGAAACGGCATTAGACGGAAACCCAGGGGATGGACAGGGGGACATTGTATAAAATTGGACAAAGTCATTGGTTTTAAACGTTCTTGGCTAGAGTGTAAGAGGGACAGACAGGGACAGGGGGGGGGGCAGAGATACAGACAGTGGACAGGTAAGAGACAGATGCCGTGGCGTAAGGATGGACTGTCACATGGGGGACTAAAATAAAGCAGTGTGGTAAGATTAGGGGGAGGGGGGGGGGAAGGGGGGCATGACATCAGTGGTGTTCAATCCCCCAACACTCCTCCTCCCCCCCCCCTTCCATTGGCCCCTTTTCCTTCCCTCTCTCTCACATCTCTTCCTCTTCATTCTTTCCTGTCCACTAGTACTCTTCCACCCTCATTCCTCATTATTTTTACTTAATGTCAGGCATCCTGATCTTGTTTGAATTTGCGTCCCACTCTGTCTGTCTGTCTCTGTCTGTCTGTCTCTGTCTGTCTGTCTCTCTCTTTGTCAGAATTTGTCTCTCTTTGAATTTGCGTCCCCCTCCTGTCTCTCTCTCTCTCTCTCTCTCTCTCTCTCTCTCTCTCTCTCTCTCTCTCTCTCTCTCTCTCTCTCTCTCTCTCTCTCTCTCTTTCTCTCATACTCAGCAATGTTCCCAATCTTTTGATCTGTGCATTACCTTTAATGGGAGTAAATGGTGAATCTGTCTCACACACGCAAGGAGAACATTTTTGTCTGGGGGGATGGTAGGGGTTGACAAGACGATAGATACAGTTGACGAAGCCTGCTGGGTGTAGGTTACCTAGGTGCTGCTTGAGGTGGTGGTGCTGCTCCTGTTCCTGCTGGTGCTGCTGCTGCTGCTGCTAGTTAGCGATAATTAGCCTGCCTGGAAGGGTAATTAGAAAGGATATTAAGAATTATCGTTTCTCGAAGGAGGAAGTGAGAGAGAGAGAGAGAGAGAGAGAGAGAGAGAGAGAGAGAGAGAGAGAGAGAGAGAGAGAGAGAGAGAGAGAGAGAGAGAGAGAGAGAGAGAGAGAGAGAGAGAGAGAGAGAGGGAGGAAGAGAGAGGGAGAGGCGAGGAGAGTTGGGTGGTGGTGAGGGAGAGATGGAGGGATATTAAGTATAAAAGACTCTCTCTCTCTCTCTCTCTCTCTCTCTCTCTCTCTCTCTCTCTCTCTCTCTCTCTCTCTCTCTCTCTCTCTCTCTCTCTCTCTCTCTCTCTCTCTCTCTCTCTCTCTCTCTCTCTCTCTCTCTCTCTCTCTCTCTCTCTCTCTCTCTCTCTCTCTCTCTCTCTCTCTCTCTCTCTCTCTCTCTCTCTCTCTGTCCTATTTGTAGACCCCCACGTCCCTATATGTGTTTTCCCCTCCCTCTATCCACCCCTTCATCCCTCCCTCCCTCCCATCCACCCCCTCCCTCCCTCCAGTTGCTGACCTGGAGAAACTGCTACGGTTCGAAACTATTCACTCCCTCCTCCTCTTGGTGGTGTGCCCAGCGTGGGGTTGAGAGCAGCAGGGCTCAGGTGGCCTTAATTAAACTCGCCTGATGCTCAACACAGGTGATTCTACTTCACATCCTCTTTTATAACGATGGGTGGCGGGTCCTGGGTTTAGTGGGTTGGTGTGGGGGGGGGGGGGGTGTTGCAGAGGTTGTTGCTGTGGGTTGGGTGCAGAGGGGTACCGTGAGGTTGTTGGGGAAGGGGGAGGAGGGGGGGTTCGTTTGTGTGGGGTTCAGGAGGTGGGTATGGGGGGGGGGGGAAATGGGTGTATTTGTAGGGGGGGGGGTTATGGGTGTAGTTGTAGGGGGGGGTTATGGGTGTAGTTGTAGGGGGGGGGTAATTTGTTTGGTTCTGGGGGGGGAGAGGGGGGATGAGGTTAGGATTTGGGTGGTTGTAAGACCGTAGTGAGGGAAGGTGATTGTTGGAGTTTGGTAGTTACTATGCGATTGTAGAGTCTAAAAAGAGTCTCGCTGCGTGCAGGTCGGCGTTCAATCCCCGACCGTCCACAAGTGGCTGGGCACCATCCTTTCCCCCCCCCACCCCCTCGTCCCATCCCAAATCCTTATCCTGACCCTTTCCCAGTGCTATATAGTCGTAACGACTTGGCGCTATCCCCTGATAATTCCCTTCCCTTCCACTGATGTTTCGACACAAAGTGCGGAAATATACATGAAATATATATAATATATATATATATATATATATTTTGTTAGAGAAAGAATAGATCTGGGATCCTTTTATTATTCGGTATTTACAGGAAAATAAAGTAAAAATCTTTATTTTCTTTATTTTAATGATCCCTATTAGTGCCAATGGTGCTATATAAAGCACCATTGAGCACCAGTCATGCTATATAGAGCACCAGTGAGCACCAGTCATGCAATATAGAGCACCATTGAGCACCAGTCATGCAATATAGAGCACCACTGAGCACCAGTCATGCTATATAGAGCACCACTGAGCACCAGTCATGCAATATAGAGCACCACTGAGCACCAGTCGTGCTATATAGAGCACCACTGAGCACCAGTCATGCAGTGAATATCACTGCAAGTAGAAGTGGTGACTTAGCCACTGCGAGGAGGGGGGGGGTGTAGCAAAGGGAACTGGTGGGTAATGGGTAAGGGTTTAAGGGGTAAAGCACCAGTAAGGAGTTAAGGGGAGGATAAAGGGGTGATATCATATAAGCTGTGAAGGCGCTATCAGGGGGGGTAAAGCCTTTGATGTTGTTTCTTTCAGGAGATTGGGGGTCATATCCTCCCCCTCTTTCCCCATCCCCCCCTTCCTCCCTGTCCTCTCACCCCCATCCCCTCCACATAGGGGGGGGAGGGGATGGTGTTGGGGGGAGAGGGCAATACGTCCATTCTCTTAATTCAAAGCCAATTTTGTCATTATTGACCACTGCGTCAAATTTCCGGTGGTTTAACGAAGTGAAAAGCACTGTAATTTTGTACGCTCTCTCTCGTCTTATAGAGTGAGCATAAAGGATAAATTCGAACGCTTATGATTAGTCAAAAACCAATCCAGATTTGAGGCTTTGGAACGGACAAACTGCCCTCTCAACCGAACGCGTTCGATTTCTCACGAAATGAACCAATCCGTTGAAATTGCCACGGAACTGTTTCCCGCCGACGCATTTAATACGTCTATATTACGGTGCTTCAACGTGAATATAACGTCTTTCATGGGATTAGTCGATTCCGTAAGAAATAGGACGTATTAAGCGAAGGGACTGGACTGATTGGCGAATAAGCCGAACATCTTCACTAGGGGGACGTCAAGACCGGATAACACGCAGGTGTAACCGGACCTTGATTAGCTTGGGAGGGAGGGATTGGTGGGGGGGGGGGGGGGAGATGGGAGGGAACGATCAGGAGAAAGCAGGAGATAGTAACTATTTGTTCGACTCTAATGACCATCATCACTAACTGCTCGTTCAGCTGTAACGACCCCTACCAGTATTATATATATATATATATATATATATATATATATATATATATATATATATATATATATATATATATATATATATATATATATATATATATATATATCCTGCCTTAATGGGGCGAATCTAACTTTTTTTATTGTATATGCACCAATCTTGTCTGGTTGTAAATTACCCGTATAAAGCAATTTACAGATACTTTAACCCAATTTACAAATACATTAACCCAATTTACAAATACATTAACCCAATTTACAGATACATTAACCCAATATACAGATACCTTAACCCAATATACAGATACCTTAACCCAATATACAGATACCTTAACCCAATATACAGATACCTTAATCCAA